AGATTGTATGTGAATGTGTGTGTGTTTGTACATGCATATATGTGACCCCTGGCCATCCCAGCAATCACTCAATACCAGCCCTTCAGGCCAAAAAGATTGTATGCTTCTGTTACAGACAAAAACCTTTTCCTGAGGCCTGATTTCAGTCCCACCTAAAAGTGAAATTGGGACTTCCCAGTTAGCTGGTCTTGTGGTTAGGACCTTGAATTTCTGTAACTTTGTTTTGGGTAGTTGTTTGGCAGTATATGTGTTACAGGAAAGGAATGAGTCACGTGACAGCCATTTCATGTCCCACAAGCTATTTTGCTTTTCCAACGCTTGATTCACAAATAGAGGATCTTATGACAAAGCCAGAAGCCTGGGACTGTGTTGCTTTTCTTTTCTCCCCTGCCCCTTTGATGAAGAGAGTGGTAACATGCTGTTTTAACAGGTTGACACAATGCAAATAAATAGATGGGTGATTTTTTTACAGATGTGAGGACAAAAGTAGAACACAACTGTACATCTTTAAGTACAAATTGGGGGTTCATGTTAGAGACTGGATCATAATCAGACAAACTTTAAAACACGCCACCGAGCTTGAGTTACCTCTAGGGATGAAAAATCTAGAGTGCATAATTTTGCAATAAACTCTTCTTCCAAATGTATACCACCTCACCATCCCTAACCCTGGATTTCCTTGAGAAATTTGTGGAAGATCATAAATTAAAAGGAAATGTGACAAGACTTTTGGGCATGGTCTAAGGAAAACAGAAAGCTGCTGGCAAGGGAACAAAATCACTGTTATCTACAGAAGAACCATTCTTGCAACAATCCTCTATTGGTAATATGGTAGTGATTACAGTGGCCAGAATTACTTACCAGGTAACTGATCTTTACAGTCATTCCTAACCTGACCTGAAACCACAGACAGGCAAACAGGGACCTCTGCAAGGAAAGAGAGCTCCCCCCGCCCTTTTCTTTAACTTCTGGCGGGCCTTTGCCCTGCTGTGTAGCTAGCCTGCTGTGTGCTGGCCTGCCATATCTGTTATCAGGAGAAGGAGGCATTGCCAGCGAGAGGAGAAAATCTCCCCCAGGTTGATTAAGAGTGAGCTACCTGTGTTTGGCTTTGGGAAAGGCCTGCATTTGTGAGGCCAGAAGCAGGGTGGCATCTCCCCAAAGGGGGATCCCAGAGGGAATTGCCTCTTCAAGGCTACCACCCCAACATCTTGGCTGATGTGAGTATAGTGATGGGTAGAGGGGAGTACAGTCAGCTGTGCAATATTCTGGTCCTCCCTCACCTGCAGGCATGATGGTTGTCCTATCAGTTTGCTCTTGGGTATTTGATTACTGCTTCTAAATGCTATATTAAAGCATAAGAAGACTTCCTTATCCATGATTTAATAGTGGATGAGGTGGCTGATCTTAAGACCTGGGAGGGCATATAGGGAGGAGTTAGTCTCATGGAGGAGTACCCATCAGGATGCTTGGTTCAGCATCAGGATAAACTTGAGTGTTGGTGGTGGTGGTGGAGGGGGCTTACCACATTCTAATGGCATTCTCTCTCTTTCCAGGACCTCTGACTTCCTGACCACAAATCTAGAGTTCTTGCATCTTATGTTGGGTCAGATTAGGGATTCTGTTGTTGTATAAGATGGTGGTATAACTTAGTAACCTGCAATAGCAGGGACCCAGTAGCCTCCTGCCCCCCTCTAACTCTACTGTTTTATGATTCTATGACACTTCCCATCTTGCTATCCAGCAGTCTTACTACCTGAGTTGACAGAAGTGGATTCAGATGTAATGTTGAGGTTCCCCAGGCTGTCGGTTCTGGGGGATTTCAACATTCATGCGATAGCACCTTGTCTGGGGTGGCTCAGGTTTCATGGTTTGTTGGTTTGTTTGTTTATTCATTTGATTTATATTCTGCCTTTTTCCTACAAAGGGCTCAAGGCAGCTTACATCATTCTCCTCCTCCATCATCTTATCCCCCCAACAACAACCCTGTGAGGTAGGTTGGGCTGAGAGTCTGTGCCTGGCCGAAAGTCACCCAGTTGGCTCCATGGCTGAGTGAGGACTAGAACCCAGATCATCTGAGTCCCAGTCCCAGCTCTTGACCACTACACCACACTGGCTCTCCACACTTTAGGGATTCCCCTGGGGCCAACTCTGTCATTGGAGGCTCAGTTGGCTTCAGTGGCAGGGAGTGTTTTTTACCTCTTTGGCTGATGGCCCAGGTACTTCCCTATCTTTACAGCGATAACATGGAACTGCCCATTCAGAAGCTGTAGCTTGTGCATAATGTGGCAGCCAAATTAGTAAATGGGGCTCAAAGGTCTGGCAATAACACCAGTTCTGACCTTCTTGCATTTGCTGCCTGTATGTTTTCAAGCCTGTTTCAAGGTGCTGGATTTAACCTGTCTAGCTTTATATAGCTTTGGATCGCAGAACCTGACAGAGCACCTCCTCTGACCTGAATTTACCTAGACTAGGTGGTACAGAAGCAGGTACAAAGGAAAGGTCCATTTTAGTGGTGGTCCACAGTCATGGAATGATCCCCCCACTGAGGCCTGCCTGGTGCAAACACTGTCATATTTTTAGTGCCAGGTTAAGATTATTCTGTATTCCTGGGCATATGATGTGGCATTAATGCTAGTTTTTGGGAAGAGATGTAGTACTTTATTGAAATTGATTGTAGCTGTTTAAATTATTTTAAATTTTGCATATTGAAATTCTATGCTGTATCTTATGTCTGTTTTGTGATTTTTGTATATTGTTGTGAACCACTTTTGACCACTGTAAATCATCATCATCATCATCATCATCATCATCATCATCATCCCTGCTGTTAATCCAATCAGTGGGAGGGTGAGAAGCACACAGATGAATCCTACTGGCATCTTTGATTATTGATTGGAAGTAACAAAATGATTTCAGCTGGAAGGGGGGGCAGTATATTAAGTGCTTCTTCCATCCTGCCTCCTCCCCAGTGGGGGAAGGCAAAGGATAGGGGAAGCCCTGTGGACAGAGTCATCGGATAGAAGAGCACCGCACCACCCAGCATCTCTGGCAGGGCTACTTCAGGGCACACAGACTCTCGCTGGCCGTAGAAAGCTAACCAGCACTGAAACTAGGTCCCCAAGTGAGGCATGGAGGACTTCCAGCCAGCTCTTCAGCTGGTACCTACATGCCATTCTCAGGTAACCACACCCCCGGACATAATCAGTTGTATAGAGGAGAACTATTTGTCTTCTCCCACAATATAGTTCTCCAACCCTTCTATATTGTAAGGATGACTTAAAGTTCTTTGAAGCACTCTGAGCACTACAGTGCTGTGAATGCAATGCAGAGAGAGAGAAAAAGTATGGACAAGAGAAGAAACTTTCTTGCAAGTTCTCAGTGAAGTCATAACTCTGGACCTTCACATACTGAGAATAGAATGTACGAGATCAGCTTGAAATTTAGCATTACTTGTGGATAGTGTACTCAACTTTTAATTATTTTACTTTAAACATCATATATCCTGCTTTCTCCTTCAAAAGAATGCAAAGTAGGTAACAGAGGAATCTATTAAAAGTTATGAACATCTATTGTCAAGTAATAAAACAAGTGACAGCACACATCAAAAGCAGTCAAATAAAGAGGCAACACTTCATTTTACAATTTACTTGATACTTACAAAGCTGGATAAGAGTATTTACATCTTTAGGAGAAAAAGTAAAGCTTAGCTAGTTATTGGCTAAGATTTGTTTGTACTTTAATTTATGAGCTGCTGCTGTGAATTCTGGCAGACTGCAGCCATCTGTCTGGAATCAAATGGAGTGTGGCAACCAAAGTTTGAAGATACCCAGATACACAATTTGATGACCAGAAATGTACCCAGTGCTGCAGCTTAATTCCCTGATCAGCAGTTAGTTTTATGGGACACTGTTTTGAAGAGAAGACAGAGGATAATCTTCTCCTCTTCCCCCCTGTAGGATCGGGTGCCATTATCAGCACTTGTGGTGCACTCTGAGTTGGCAATTGACGGGCCAGTTGGTATAGCCTAGGGATTAAATATGACTTCGGTCTCTCTAACTTAGTCTTTAACAGTTCAGTGAAAGATAGAGCAAGTTTCTTGGCATGGACAATGGTTCTGGATGAATGAATGAGCCTTGGCTCTAACAGCTAAAACTAGAAATGTGAAAACTTCCTTCTGTTTTAAGACACCTTAGGGTGTAGTACTGTAGACATTTAGTCAGAAAAAACCCCCTACAACTTCTAGCATTTTCCAGTCAGCACAACTGACTGGGGAATGCCAGGAGTTACAGAACTTTTCTTCTGTCTAAACCTGCATACAGTTTGCACCCGCAAACGGTGTTTTTGGGCCACAGTGCAAGAAGTAAACTGATACAATTCAAATGTGCCGCATTCTATATATAATGAAGCCTGGAAATGTTGTTTAAAAGCAAGAGGAACTTGCTTATGAATTTTTCACACAAAGATTCCGTGAAGAGAGGTAGCAGTAGAAAACAAAAGATTTTTTTTAAAGATAAGTGCATAAAAAGACCCAAGATTTATTTATGGACTGCATGAAGAGCAGGGAAATCTCTATGGCACTCTGTGTTTTACAGATTATGATTGCTATAAAACTTTATTTATCACAATGGCTTGCAGGACATCTAAAATGTTCAGATAATGAAATGTTTGCAGTAAATGAACACAAGTGCAGATTTCTCCAAGTTTCAATGCTGTCAAGCTATTTGGAGGGTACGCAGTACACTCTGCTAGATAATTTGATAGCAGAGAATAAAATAATGGAATATTTCACAAAAATGTATTAAATATAATGCTTTCTGATCAGTGTGTAAAAAGATTAAGCCTCTGGAAAAGATTTCTATAAAAAGTATTGAAATGCCAAACAAGGTAAGTCACCATATATAAACCAGAAGGTGCCTGCAAAAATAAGATGTTTTAATTTCGCCTTTTCTCTGTATCTTCTTCTTAATGATGTCTTGTTTGGTCTTCTTTCCCATTGGCAGATATGACTTTATTGAGATACGAGATGGGGACAGTGAGACAGCTGACCTTCTGGGCAAGCACTGTGGGAACATTGCTCCTCCTACTATCACCTCATCAGGCCCATCTCTCCATATTAAATTCACCTCAGACTATGCCCGTCAAGGTGCTGGCTTCTCTCTGCGCTATGAGATCTACAAGACAGGTCAGTGTCCAGCTGCTCAGGAAGGCACATGCCTTTTCTTGATTCTCCTTCATCATGGTTTTATGTTTGTAGGTAGACTGTGTCGGATTTTCTTATCCTTAACTTGCATTAGTTGACAGTACTGGTGCAAAGGCATGTGGATAAAGCAGGCTTGCTGATGCTAAGCAATATCTGGTCAGCGCCTGGATCACAGACTGCATTACAATCCTGTCTATACCAGTGAGTTTCTTGAAAGAAGAGGAGTGATATTTCAATGAAAAAGTATCATTTTCACCCTGGGGCCTTTTGTTTTCCTAGAAGAAACCTAAAACACAAGCTTACGTGTTTGTTAAATTATACTCTGTTTTCTAGTGTCTTGGACAGTGTGAGCAATGCTTGCTGAGCAGCCCTTTGTAGTTTACTCAACCAATAGGTTGAGCTGAATGTAAAAGCAGAGTTTCAGGTATCTTTGATCAAGTCAGCTGTACCATTAAGCAGGCCAACTCAATGCAGGGAGTGCAGATGGTTCTACAACTTGAATTGCCTGATAAAGGGATTGGCCACTTTAAGCTTTAGCAGATTTGGGATAACAAAATTTGAAAGTCCTTATCCAAGCCAGATAGGAGACTCTCCTTATCTTATTAAGCTTTATATGCATCTCCTCTGTGCTACTCCACTTCTCAAATCTGTTTCATCAACACTTTGGATGAGGTGAAATATTTTAGTGGCATATTGACAATTTTGATTCTTACCTTGGCATGGAAAGTAGGCTTCTTCCTTATCTGATCTCATGTATGCTAGAACTACAAACAGTTTATCTTTTTTCTGCGGCATGCTTTAAAAGTCAATGCTAAGTGAAAATTGTCCTCCCTGAGATCTGCATAGTGGTCTTTTCCAACCAACCCCTCCTGTGAATATGGGATTCAAACACTGATCAATAGCCTAGTGTTTTCTCTTTTCAAGAAGCCAAGGGTTTTGTAACTGCTGTAATGGTGACTTAAACGGCTGCTGTTGGCAGTGCCGTCAAGAGAACAAGACACAAGACACAAGACGGGCGCCTCTTGAGTTCAGTATAAGAGGAACTATTCATAATGCCTTTTTAATACAAAACTATTCTTGGAGAAAGTAAAAAACTTATCAGAGCCCTTTTTAAATCGGTTCTGTCTAAATATTTGTGAGATTGGTGTGTGTGGGGATGAGAATTCCTGAGAAATAAAAATAGTCCTGTTTTGTGCCTGTGGGCATGTGTAAGACAGAGTTTTTGTGTGCTTGTGGAGAGGCCTAGCTGTGTCTTGCCTAGGGATAGTGGTCACAAGACCCGGTTGCCTGCCTGCATTCCATTGCTAGTATGCTGCATGGAAACACACAGACCTTTTACGTCACTGTTAGAACATGAAACAAATGCCATGTAGGAACCAGCAACCCCCAGAAGGGGAGGGGGCAAGGCAAACAGTGTCCTGGAAACCTGCTTTGATGAAGACTAAGAGCATTAATGAAGAGGTGCACAGATATTTTGATTTTGGAAGTTTTGACAATGAGTTATACTAATTGCATTATTCATAAATGCAAAGGAGGAGATGTCACACAAATTTGAACATTTTTTCTCTCTCTCATTCACAGGGATGGAAAAATGATTGCCATAAGCCTTGTAGAGCTAAATTTTAAAGAAAGTGTTCTTGGGGCTATCATCTGTTTTATTTCTACAGTATAAGAATGACTGTTACCCATAATGGATATGTCAGAAATTTCAAACTAAGTCAAAAGTGAACTGCTTTTGAAACCACACTTTTTAAGTATAACTAAGGCTTCATTTGGACATAACCAGAAACCATCAAATATAATAATAATTTACGATTTCTCATTAGATGACCAGGCCTGGGAAAGCTTCTGGCCTCTGTATTTCCCTTCTCCCCTGATCCAAATCCCAAATAGTAGTTAATCTTAACTATGGTTTATTGAAACACTAGCTTCATAAACTGATGTTTGAAGTTGGCTTGTTTTTATAAACTATATTTAAGACTAATCACAGTTTGTCTAGGTTCAGACATAACATTAAACTGATTTAATAAAAATGGAGGCAAAATGTTCTGATCATGTCCTTGAAACTGAGCAGGAGGAATAAAGAGGAGTAGGAGTGTGTGAGCTCACAGCTCAACCTGCTCATTCACCTAGCAATATACTCTAGTTTACTGTTATGTCCAAATGCAGTCTAAAATCAGCTCTCACATTATATTTTCTGACTTGTTTTTCTCCCTGACCCAAGCTGGACATACTACAGACTACAAATGGCATCTGGAGCCAAGTTCAAGTGTTGATAGGATGAGATGATAAACATATGTCATCCTTCTTTTTGATCTTGGGACCAGAAAATATGGGGGTTTCAAATGGAGTCCAGGAGATATTTTGATCCAGCAGTGATAATCAGGATATTTATTTATTTATTTAAAATTTTTGTATGCCTTCCCTTATGCATGGCATCTCAGGACAGCTTACAATCATTAAAACAACCACAATAAAACAGCAATAATTAACAATTAACAAAAAATACAAATTAAATAAGTTAAATAAAAGTGACTGTTAAACATTAAAGTTTAAATTAGTTTTTAAAATAACAGTTAAATAAAACGGTTTTAACCTGGTGCCAAAAAGAATATAAACTCAGTGTCAGGCGCACCTCTCCAGAGAGCGCATTCCAGAATCTGTGCGCCACCGCAGAAAAGGCCCTACTCTGAGTAGATGTCCTTTTTACCTCCTTCAGGGAGCGTTTTTGGAGCAGGGCCTCTCCTGCAGAATTTAAGGTGCATGAGGGTGTATAAGGAAGGAGACGTTCCTTCAGGTATCCTGGTCCCAAGCTGTTCTGGGCTTTATAGGTTAATCCCAGCAGCTTGAATTGGGCCTGGACATCAACTGGAAGCCAGTGGAGCTGGTAGAGGACTGACGTTATGTGAGAATAACGACTGGTCCCCGTCAGTAGCCTGGCTGCTCTATTCTGTACCAGCTGAAGTATCCGGACCATTTTCAAGGGCAGCCCCATGTAGAGCACGTTATAGTAATCCAACCGGGAGGTTACCAGAGCATGAATCACCATTGCTAGGCAGTGTTTGTCCTGGTAAGAATGCAGCTGATGGACCAGCCAAAGCTGTAGGAAAGCATTCCTCGCCACCACTGCCACCTGGATTTCCAGTGACAGCTCCGGGTCGAGGAGTACTCCCAAGATGCAGCCTCTGTCCTTTAGAGGGAGTGCTACCCCATCCAGGACAAGGTCAAAGTCACTTACCTGAAACCTCGATCCGCCCACCAACAGGACTTCCGTCTTATCTGGATTGAGGCTCAGTTTATTGGCCCTCATCCAGCCCATTACTTCGGCCAGGCATCGGTTCAGTATAGCCACAGCCTCACCTGGAGTAGATGTAAATGAGAGGTAGAGCTGGGTGTCATCAGCATACTGGTGACTCCGCAGCTCAAACCTCCTGATGACCTCTCCCCGCGGTTTCATGTAGGTGTTGAAGAGCATGGGGGACAAAATAAAGCCCTGCGGAACTCCATGGCAAAGCTGTCATGGTGCACAGCTATAGTCCCCCAGCACCACCTTCTGGAATCAGCTGGCCAGGTAGGAACAGAACCACTGCCATGCAGAGCCACGTACTCCTAACCCGGCCGGCCTATCCAGAAGGATACCATGGTTGATGGTATCGAAAGCCACTGAGAGGTCCAGGAGAATCAACAGGGACGCACTCCCCCCGTCCGTCTCCCTGCACAGGTCATTGTACAGGGCGACCAAGGCAGATTCAGTACCATAACCAGGTCTGAAGCCAGACTGAAATGGGTCCAGGTAATCCATTTCATCCAAGAGTGCTTGGAGTTGTCCTGCCACCACCCGCTCTAGCATCTTGCCCAAAAACGGGATGTTGGCCACTGGTCTAAAATTGGCGGCCACCTCTGGGTCCAGGGATGCCCTCTTCAGGATAGGCCAGATCACTGCCTCCTTCAAGGGGGCAGGGACCTGGCCCTCCCTCAGCGAGGCGTTGATAACGTTCCAGACCCAGGGACCAATCCCGTGGCTGGATTCTTTAAGTAGCCAGGAGGGGCAAGGGACAAAAAGACAGTGGTAGGATGTATCATTCCAGGCACCTTGTCCACATCATCAGGCTGCAATAACTGAAACTCATCCAATAATGATGGACCAGACAGCACTCTGGACACCTCCCATACTGGAGCCATATCAATTGTGGAGTCCAGATCTTGGCGAATCTGAGCAATTTTTTCCATAAAGTGCTGGGCAAAGTTGTCACGGTGGGCTGCCGAAGGTGCAATCACATCATTTTTCTGGCCAGAGTGTGTCAGACTGTGCACCACTCGGAAAAGCTTTGCTGGTCGTCCCTGTGAGGAAGCAATAGAAGCGGAGAAGAACTGCTTCTTTGCCACTCTCACCGCCATAGCATAGACTCGCTAATGATTTGTCCCAAGATTTCCTCCACCTGCACTCTAATCGTCTCCCAGCCCGCTTCATCGCCCGCAACTCAGGCGTATACCATGGTACTGAACGGGCTCTGCTAGGCAGGAGCAATCGTGTCGATTGCCCTGGTCATCTCCCTATTCCATGAATCAACCAGGACATCAACAGGAGTGCTGATGTTGAGGCCAGTCCTGTCCCAGGGCTGGCCGTGGCCGGCGAGTTAAGCCCGAGTTCTTCCTGCGCAATTCCACTCCAATCTGGACAGCTGCCACCCACGCCGGGGGAGGAGGAGGAGGGAGCGAGGGCGGGGCCCAGGAGAGCTCGCCGGCGTGAGATTGAGTAGCTGCAAGGTGCAAGCGTGCAGGAAGTGGCCCGTGCAGAGCAGCAGCAGCGTCTGCGGTGGCCACTCAGTCCACACCGGTAGCGATGTTGAGGCCATATTGTAATAGCTAAAGTCTTTCTGTAAACTCCATTTACCTCCACAGTCCCCACCTTGTCTTGGACAGAGAGGATCTTGCCATGTGAATTTCTGCAGCTATCCCCTTCAGGCATCAGTGCTTCTTCA